GAGAGAGAGAGAGAGAGAGAGAGAGAGAGAGAGAGAGAGAGAGAGAGAGAGAGAGAAGGAGGGCACGGTATATACATTTACATTAAATGTCCGTGAAGATCTGATGTTTTGTTCTCTCAATTATTGTTCTCAATTCTCCTGGTTTCGGTGACAATTCATATGGTTCGATTAAAATCACTGGAACTTAAGTTCCAAATGTTCTCGTCATCACGGGCACTCGTATCTTTACCGTTGCAAAGTTTTGGAATAATATCCTAATTGAACATGCTACGTAAATTACGCTGTTTAGGATTTTAAAGCTGTTCGTGAGATTAAATGGTGACGCTTTTGTTTTCTTTGAGCCAGCACTATGCTTGATAGACAACTGTTTCATTTCTCGTGTTTGATATCGTGTTCGGTTTTCATTGGAAAATTTGTCGTGCCAACTCTCACGTAGTACACTATTTTCTGTGCTCACAAAGAAGGTGTATCATTATGGGCCAAAGGGCTTACAGTCTGAATACAATAACAATTGTCCCGTTGAGAATTAGAATGGTCTATTCCCACTTCAGATCAAATGAACTTTTCATACCATAGAATAAAGCTCTGTCTCATCTGCCTGTTTAATAAAAGGCCTCGCCTGAGAGCGACTGTTTTGAAGAATTTTCTCCAAATTAGAACCGAAATTGTTAATTCTTAGGTCCAGTTTAGTGAAAGCGCGGAATGTCCCACTTTTCTTGATACTACTAACAGTAGTGTTACACCGCTCTTATTCCAATTGATATAATTTGGGTCAATTTGACTGTGTCCAACTCCGATGAAATTGATGTACACAAAAGTGGGAAGACATTAAAAAATATCAAGAGGCTAGCCCAGGATAGGGAAAGGTGACAATTGTTTGTTCGGGGCCTATATCCTGCTCCAGAGTGAGAAAGATAAGATAAGATAAAATAAGATTAGATACATCTTTATTGTCCATATCCTGGCACATTGGTGTTTCACCACGTACACACACACGCACGCACACACACACACACACACACACACACACACACACACACACACACACACAC